GCTCCAGCCCCCTATTCATTTTTGTTGCCCTCTGCTGGACTCTTTCCAATTTTTCCACATCCTTCTTGTAGTGTGGGGCCCAAAACTGGACACAGGACTCCAGATGAGGCCTCACCAATGTCGAATAAAGGGGAACGATCACGTCCCTCGATCTGCTGGCAATGCCCCTACTTATACAGCCCCAAATGCCGTTAGCCTTCTTGGCAACAAGAGCACACTGTTGACTGGACTCAGCATCCCCTGCAGCAGGCTTGAAAGCAGAGGGCCTGGGGGAGCAGGTGTTCAGGGGGCTTGTTCCATTAGCATCAAGGGGAGTTAGGTGCTTTGCCTGCTTTTGAAAACTCCACTAGGGACCACTCTGCACCTATAGAAGCCTTAGCCCCAAGCTCCTGTCGGGCGGGAAGCAGCCCCCCCAAACCCCCCTGCAAGTTGGTTCTGAGCAGCCCCACCGCTGCAGGTGCACGTAATCCAAACTCAGCCGGGGATCTAAATGGACCAAACCGACCCCAAGCACCTCCCTGTTCTCGGGCCGGGGTTTGGATTGTGAGTCAGGAATTCTCATCTTGGGCCCATCTGTCGTGATAAGGTAGCCTGGCTCCCTGGTTAAGGTGACTCAGGACAGCTGGGTTCTGTCCCTAGCTTTGCCACTGGCCTGCTGGGTGACCGTGGGCAGGTTCCTGTCCCGCTCTGTGCCTCAGTTTCTCTCCCCATAAGCTGATACTGATTTCCTTTGTCAAGGGCTCCCAGCTGTGGCATGACAAACCCTGCAGGGGTCAGGTAAATCCCTTTCCTGCTGTTTCCCTTCCTATCCGTTATCCAGCTGGATTGCAAGGCCCTGATCCTCAAAGGTATTTAGGGGCCTAACTCCTATGGATTCCAATGGGAGTTAGGCCCCTAAATACCTTTGAGGATCTCTGCTTGAGCTCTTGGGGGTAGAGCCCTGCATCTCCCTGCATCACCCAGCTCCACAGCGCTCCCCCGGTGTCAGCACAGAGGGCTCAAGGTGCTAATGTAATACACATCATAGAGAGCAAGCCTGGTAAACCTGCCAGGCCTGGCTTTGCTATGGAGTCAGCGCCCTAGGGGCAGGCTTGCCTGCCCCTTTGTGATGTCAGGCGGGGGGGGGGGGGAGATTATCTCTGGCTCTGCTGGCTGGGGCTGAAGGAAGGAGCTGGGAAGCAGGTGCTCAGCAGTGAGAGTGGGAGAGGGACAGGGATTCTGATCTGCAGGAGCCCGGGGGTTAAAGGGACTGGATTGCAGTGCTCGGCGTTCGTCCCGCCCTAGTGATCTGAGCACAGGCCTGGGAGCCAGGAACTCCTGGGTTCCATTCCTGCCTCTGACACTGATGCGCTGAGCGACTTGGGAGCAAGTAACACCGTGTCTCAGTTTCCCCACAGGGCTAGTAATGCTGACCTGCTGCGGGCATTAATTCGTTCATTAACGGACAGAGATTTACAGAGGCAAATGGCAGCACAAGGCTCCTTTCTGCATTGAAAACATGCCCGTTATTAGTGGGAGGAGATGGCTCAGGCCCTAATGGGCTCAGGAGATGATTTGTCGCTGGGTCACCAGCTTGGAACCAGGCCCAGATCCTGCAAGCCGCCCCCCGTGGGTGGATTCCCGCACCCACACAGAGCCCTAATCACGGCATGACGTTCCCAGGGATCCTGCTGTGTTTGGCCATCAGTGAGTTGGGTGTGGGTTGGCCCAGTGGGCCAGCAGCCCCACCTCCAAAGCTGCCATCAGAATTGCCGCTAACTGGCCACCACTTCGGGACCCTCCGCGGGGAGCCCCAAAATGGAATGAGCCTTGGGGGCTGGGGCATGCTGCCCCCACGGCTCAGGGGATGGTGCCCCGGCCCCTTTCACTGATGCCCAGTCCCTTCGGCAGGGCGAGGATGTCTTCGTGCTCCTAGAGTGGAGCTGGGAATCCTGAGCACGCCGCGCCAGGCCTCGTCACGGCTGGAGCCCGGCGCAGTGATACAGCCACCATGGAAGGGGACCTGGTGAGGAGCTGCTTGGGCTAAGCGGTGCAGTGGACGTGGAGCCACAGAGGATCCTGGGAGGGATGGAGGGAAGCCGGGGGGTCGTTTATTGACAAGGCCGAAGCCTGAGACTCAGCCATGGGTCGTGGGGCTCCTTTGGTTGGCCCCACTGCGCTGCAGGGTTTGGGGCCAGACTCCTCCAAAGTCCTGTCAGGCACTAGGCTGGCTCCTTCCCTGGCGCCAGCTCCATGCGCCCACCTCCCGGGATCTCCAATAAGGCCAGGGGCAGGGGGCAGAGAGGAGGAGGAGCTGGGGATCGCCCTCGTCCTACAGATGGGGAAACTGAGGAAAAGACCCGCCCAGGCCGAGTCAGCGCTGGAGGTGGGGACGGAACCCTTGTCACGGCTCCGGCTTCTGACCTCGCCCCTCACATCTCTGATGTCAGAGGGCAAAGGTCGTGACGCGGTGGGCCTCGGTTCCGAAACGTGGCAGCCCACGTAGCAGAGCGAAGTTCCCAGCTGTCTCTCTAGAGCACCTGGGTCTGAACCCTCTTCTCCATCGGCTTTGCCCCAGCTGAGGTGGAGTGACCAGGACTAACCAGACGGCTCCAGGTCAGGCCACCCCATTGATCCCCATCTTGGCTTTAGGATATTCTCCGAGCTATTTCCTAGCCGGTTCCTCATGCCCTTCACATCCTGTTTGCATTCCCAGCTGCTGCTGTGTTTCCATTGAGAGATGTCCAGGTCACGGCCCAGCAGTGGGTATGAATGGCTCTGACTGGTCCTTCCAATGCTGAAGGTCACCCAGGCAGCTGGGAATTGCTCTTGTACTGGGTCTCAAATCCCCTGAGCTCCAGCGGAAGATGTGCGTGCGTGCACACACATACCTTGTGATCAGTCACTGGGGAAAGCAGCCATTTAACATGCACACGCACACACACACACGCACACCCCCCCCTGTGATCAGTCATAGAATCATAGAATATCAGGGTTGGAAGGGACCTCAGGAGGTCCTCTAGTCCAACCCCCTGCTCAAAGCGGGACCAATCCCCAATTAAATCATCCCAGCCAGGGCTTTGTCAAGCCTGACCTTAAAAACCTCTAAGGAAGAAGATTCCACCACCTCCCTAGGGAACCCATTCCAGTGCTTCACCACCCTCCTAGTGAAAGTTTTTCCTAATATCCAACTTAAACCTCCCCCACTGCAACTTGAGACCATTGCTCCTTGTTCTGTCATCTGCCACCACTGAGAACAGTCTAGATCCGTCCTCTTTGGAACCCCCCTTTCAGGTAGTTGGTAGCTATCAAATCCCCCCTCATTCTTCTCTTCTGCAGACTAAATAATCCCAGTTCCCGTAGCCTCTCCTCATAAATTATGTGCTCCAGCCCCCTGATAATTTTTGTTGCCCTCCGCTGGACTCTTTCCAATTTTTCTACATCCTTCTTGTAGTGTGGGGCCCAAAACTGGACACAGTACTCCAGATGAGGCCTCACTGGGGAAAACAGCCATTTAACACACACACACACACACACACACCCCTTGTGATCAGTCACTGGGGAAAGCAGCCATTTAACACATGCACACACACACACACCCTTCTGACACAATTGGGCCTTTAGTTGAGTTTATTTTCCTTGGCGTTCTCCAGGGGAGGCCTTTTCCTTGCATTTCATTGGCCATAACGCTACCTATTTGTGTAGCTTGGCTGGGTCCTGGAGTCCCCCCTCCACCCCCTCACTGGCCTAGAGAGGTTGGAAGCCCTAATGCTATCTCCGTTAACAGAGGGAAAGTCCTTTGTCTTTGGAACGATAGATTCACTTGTGACTGGGATGTCCCCAGCCTGTAGCCCAGACATCCCCGTCCCCTGACCTGTCCTACACACTCGACCCCCCACTTCTCCAAGCCCTGTGTCTCCTGATTTGGAGCTCTGCTCTGGTTTGTTCCTCTCCCTCAGGTCCTAGAAGATATCGAAGAGTTGGATATAGAAAAGGACAAATGCATGGAGATGACGTCAACTGACAGCCATGACGACAGCATTGGGGTGCTAAACCTCAGCGGAGAGGAGGAGGAGGCCTTGCCCGGAGCAGGCCAGCCCAGGGGCGTATCCATGGTCCCAAAGACTCCAGGGGAACATCTGCCCTGGGTCCAGAATGACGACAGTCTGGAGCGCCTCGTGAAGCTGATGTGCGACCTCTTGAAGGTTGCCCCGGTGGACGCGGTGCAGACTTCGGGGGAGCAGATCAGAATCGTGGCCGACGAGCAGAACGCCGGCTCCGACTCACCCGCCAGCTGCCGGGGCTACAACGTCATCAGTTGCCTGACAGGGGGAAAGACCCATTCCAGAGGTGAACATGACACAGAGGGTGGGTATGAATGGGACCAGCAGGGGGCGACAGCATTACCCGGTGCGGATAAGAAGATTTTGCCTGAGAACGATTACAATCAGCTGAGAGAGGACGAGGACCTTCTGCTGCAGGAGGGATGGGGAAGCCCGTGGGTTAGAGACGAGGAAGTGCCACCCTCGTCAAGCAGGGCTTCCTGGTCCTTCCCTCCAGGAGGCATCACCATCTCCTGGCTGACCGGCTTTCCCAGCTTGGATTTCCCTGGAGCACTGCAGTTCAATCCCTCATCTGAAACCTCTCACGAGACAAGGACAGAGCCTGGGCCTAGCTGGTGGCTTTGTCCCAACCCTGCCTGTCAGCTCTGCAATGACAACACAATTCATCCTCTGGGGGGCTTCAGGGGCTTCGGACCCCCTGACTTGAAGGAGCTGGAGGAGGAGCTATGGCAGAAGCTCAACAGCTGTCCCAAATGGGGAGCAGACGCACATGGGACCTTCTTCTCCAAGGCAAAGAGGCTGTTTTCTGACTATTGCCTCCGCCCTTCTGGGGACTCCAGGGCACAGGCCTTAGAGAGAAAGGTAAGGAAGCCACTGGGAAACTAAATGCTTTTCGGCATCTGCATTTCAAATACGGCCATCACCATAGAGTCTGGGCACCCTGTATGTAGAGGGACGTCATGCTCTCTCTACAAAGAACTCCCCTCCCTCCAGCTATGTCAGGCTTGGCTGTTGGCAGCTCTCATCCCTGACCAGTAAGAAGAGGCAAATCTATCCCCTGCTAGGGGAAAGGCTGGATTAGACAGGAAGGATGGCCTTGTGGTTTAGGCAGGGGATCTGGGTTCAGTTCTTGGCTCTGCCCCAGATTCCCTGTGTGAGCTTGGCCAAGTTGCTCAAGTTCATTCTGTGCCTCAGTTTCCCCACTTGTAAAACGGGGCTAATAATCCTTCCTTTCATCCACATGTCTTGTCTATTTAGCGTGTGAGCTGGTCAGGTCAGGCATTTCCTCTTACTCTATTTACGTACTGCGCCCAGCACAAAAGGATCCCCAGTTTGTGTGCCTCAGTTTCCCTATCTGTAAAATTGGGATAACAACTCCTTTGTCTGTCTTGTCTATTTAGGTTGTGAGCGCTTCAGGGCAGAGATTGAGTCAGGGCCCCAGTCCTCCTGCTGCTGCTGTATATAAACAATAAAAATTCCCCCAGCAGGCTGAAGAGGCTGGACTAAGAATAACATTTAGTGCTTTCATAGCACCGCCCATCTAACAGTCTGTGAGCCGTTTGCAAACACTAATGGATTTCACCCACTGGGTTGGGGCTCAGAGATCACCCCCATTGTACCCGGGGGAAATCGAGTGCCTCACATAGAAAGTCAGTGATGGGACCAAAAATACAATCTAGAAGTCCCCGCTCTATCCTGCCGCTTCCAAAGTGAATTAAGCTAAATCAGGAAAAGGCATTTTTACTCCAGAATAGGTGTCCCACATGGGGAGCTATTGCGGAATAGTTATTCTGGAGTAGCTATGCTGGTCAATTCCCCCATGTAGACAAGTCCTAAGGAGTCTGACTTTCATAGAGTCCCAGACTTTAAGGCCAGGAGGGACCATTTGGCTCATCTAGCCCGACCTCCGGCCTAGCAGCAGGCACCTCCCTCAATGCATCAAGCCCAGATCTTGTGGTTGATCTACTGCATAATGATTAAAAAGGCATCTGGTCTTGGCGTGAAGGTGCCAAGTGACGGGGAATCCACCACCTCTCTAGGTAAATTGGTCCAATGGTTAATCCCCCTCATTGTGAAAAATGTCTTATTTTTAGCCCAAATGTATCAGCTCCCAGAACCGGTTATGCCTCTTCGGCTAAAGAGCCTATTTGACATCTTCTCCCCATGTAGGTGCTTGAGCCTTCTCTGGGACAAACTAAATAGTCTGATCTCCTTCGGACTTCCGAGCTGTAACTGTCTTTCCTCTGGGACTTCTAGGCTGTTCTCCAGGAGATCGCAGTGGCTGCCCTTCAAAAGAAGTCGCTGGTCGGCACTATGCCCTCAGCCCACCGGAGATGCGCACCCACCCTCCGGGCTATGACCTCTCAGCTCAAGCATGGGGATTTCTCTCCATTGTTCCTCCAACGGGCTCTCCGGAAGCTGAAGATGTTGGTTAAAAAGACAGCCCCCCACTCCTAGCTGAGACTCTCCTCCCAACAGATGGCTGTCACCTCTATTAAAGTGAATGATCTCCTGTAGCACGGGGCTTTGAAGTCTTAGCTGCACTGATCACAGCAGCTGCGACACCAGATGAAATGTTCTCATTGGCTTTTTGCCTCTGGGCCACAGGGGTGTGTGTGTGGGGAAATCAGTATGACCCACCCTACGCGTGGTGCTTCAGGGTGCACAGAGCACCTAAAGGAGCTGAAGAGAAGTGGCTTTGCTGCTTCGATGTAGGCAACCTGAAATGTTATTTTTTAGAAATTAACCTGTCCTGGTCAGTGGGAATCTCCTGTGCAGGCTGCAGAGGGGTGGAGGAGGAGCTCCCATAAGCATTCAGCAAGGGGAAAAATCTTCGAAGCACGGGAAGAAAGTTGTGTGTGTTTAGAGTTGAATGTTTAAAAACCTAATGCAGGGGTGCCGAATTCCCACAGCTTAGGAGTTGTAGGTGCTATAGGAACTGAACCTCCTCTGGAAAAAAGCATCACTTCCTCCCCCAGTCATGTTTCACTAATGCAATAATCCTCCATAGTCTTCCAAAAAGAACAGCAGACATGTGACCTGAATATTTAGTGGCAGGAAAACAGGCAGATTTTAAACACCTTTCTTTCCCTTAGCTGGTCACCCCCAGGGGCCATCTCTAGCAAGTCCAGAGCAACACCCTGATCTTTGCCACAGCGGCTTGCTCTCTATAACAAAGGTCTCCAACCCTGAAACTCCCTTGAGTTTGCAGGATCAGGGCCTATGTTTCTACTGTTCACACAATTATGGCAGTTCTAGTTACCAGTAAATCTAGGCCATCAAGCACTTACAAAATGGATCCAGCCTCAGCGCACGGCTGCCCCTAGGAAGTGCTATTGCTCCAAAACTACAGCTACTTTATTTAAAGAAACCCTAATGCATGTTGTCTTGCTGGACGGCATTGCAGAAAGGGGCAAAGATGGTTAATTATATTTGATTTCACCACGCGCCCGCTCAGTCTTGCTCCTTTGGAGCCTCAGGGAAATCTCTGGCCGGCTGCAGAGGAGCTGAAGTTGAAGCTGAACCGTTGTGGTTTTGAAGGCTAGTATTTGGGATGCATAATATGGAAATCAAGGCTGGTGCACTGGGAAGTGCTTCCACTGCCTTCCCCACGAAATTCCTACGCCCTCTCACTTCCTTCACAGGGTAGAGGCGAACCAACCGTGCAGTCATTGCAAGGAGGAGCTTGGCTGGCATGTCCCATCTGCTCTGCACGGATAGCAGTGATCTCATGATGTGTTACTTGGGACTTGGCCCTAGTACCTTTTCCCAGCATTCCCTCCCCCACAGCGAGACACGGGAAACACCACTCTGTGCCAGTTAGCCACTGCTCCCTTTTCTGAGACGCTTGGGATTCTACAGGGTGGAACATGAGACTTTCCAGATGCCTGTGAAAGAGCATCACAAACTGCATGGGTCAGAAATATGCAGAGCTAAAAAAAAAAAGCCATGAATAGGCTGCAGAAGTGGTGTCTGTGGTAAATGAAGGCCCTGATAAAGGCCCAGTATGAGGCCTGAACCAAACTAGAGTAATGGTCAAGACTTAGCTAACAAAGCAAAGCTAAGCTGTGAGCCAGAGACAGGCCCTGCTCACAGAAGCTGGCAAGGAAAGGGCTGATACTGCATAAATATATATTCACCTAGCAAAGTTAAAGTATAAACATGGTACCAAGACATACCCTACGGGAACATTCCACAGATAACACGGAACAGGCCGACCCATCCCAATGACAGGGGCAAAAGGGTAAAATGATGGATAGAGTTGTTTTGATCGAACCAACATGTACAAGGTGAGAGGCGGCACCTTACTGCGTACGTAGAGGGGTTGTACCTTGCTGCGTAGAGGGGTTGCACCTCAATACGTCAGGAGTGATGTGTAACTTGTTTGTACCTGTGTATAAGAATGTATCCCTGGGGTGGTGTTTTTGTCCGGCCGAGGGGGCAGTGGAAAGTCCCGCCACTGACTGAGCTGGGTCCATTGCCAAGCGGCACTTTCTCGTAGTATGCCCCGTAGACTAAGTAATCTACGGGGAACTGCAATTGTGTCAGGGTCGCAATAAACCTGGCCGAGGTGCCTTCGTACCTTACTAGAGTCTGTGGTTATTGGGCATTCTCGTCGGGTTTGCTGTGTCAGCTATCTGCGGAGCTGGGACAGCCCACAGAGGGAACACACGCACGCAGCCGAGTGATATCAACATAGGAGAAAGCAGAGCACCACATCGGTAGCATCTGACGACAGTGTCATCTGCCTAGAGCGCTGGGCTGAGCTCAGACCCTGCTAGAATGAGCTTTAAATGTGCCAAGAATGCCCCTTACTCAAACTGTACCTCGGATTGCTGTCTCCCACACACTGCCATGCTGCCACGGTCAGGTTAGGGTCCAGAGAGCAAGATGTTACATCCTTTGCATCGTGCTTTGATCCTAAAGTTCTCACCACAGCAGGCTGGGATTTCTAAAGCTGTATTACTCTAGTGCTCACTAGATGGGCTGCCCAGACAGCCCTGCCAACTGACATGCTCCATTTAGGCATAGAACAAGCTTCCACATGCTGCCCTGCTAGCGAGGACCTAGAAAACAGGAGAGGAGATTGTCTTTGGCCTCTAATGAGATTGTCAATTGGGGCAATTTATGACACGGACACTTCTCCATAGATCAAGACCTGATTTCAGACGGATCCCTCACCCAGGAGATGGGGAGGTACATGCTGATCTTGCTCAAACTTTTAGGAAGGTTTATGAAAAACATTAGGGTAGTTGCTTGGACCTTTCTCTTCCCCCCTGCCCCCCCAAAACCTGCTCTCCCCCATTTCCTCCCTATATATGGCCAGGGGGCAACTGCCCCCCCTTGCACCTATAACACCCATCCCCAAACAGGGAGAAGGGAAGGCTCAACCTAGGAGAGCTGCTCTCCTATGCCACATAGGGCCCTTAATTACCATGGTTTGTTGTGGGCCTGGACCTCCTTCCCAGGATGTCTTTCTCCTCCCCTGCAGCATGAGGGTCCGACAGAAGGCAAGCTGCAGCAAGTTAGTGGGGCACTGGATTCCCTGCCCAAGCCTCAGGCTGCATGTTGTGCACTAGCTGCCCTGCGCGGACCATGCTGGTGCACTCTAGGTACCCAGAGCATGTTAACATGGCCCAGCAGGGTCTACACGGAACTGAAACTTGGGCAGGGAATTCCGCAGCACCCCAACCCCTACAGGCGATTGCTGCAGCTTGCCTCCTATCAGACCCTCACTATGCAGTCTGAGCAGGCCATGGGGGTGGTGGAAAAGAACAGGCCCCCCATGGCCACAGCGCTATACAGGGTGTTCATCAGATCCAAGCCGTCGTGACACTTATTTTGTGGGTATACATATACACACACACGCAAAATTAGCTTTGCTTTAAGCCTGAATTAGTAATTTTGGAATGACATGTAAACAAGCAGGAGGATTACTGAAAATGTAGGGAAGGCATCTCTGCATGTGTGGTCAAGACTGAGCGGGGTGGTTTTACCTAGATGTGTCCTGCTGCTTACTGAACACCAAATGTTCACAGGCCAAGCGCACGTCTGAAGTAAGCCCATTTCCCCCTGTTCGACAATCAGGTCTGTAACACTGAGTACAGATTCTTAACACTCTCCTTTTCTGTGTGTCCTTTACCAAACTTTGAGGCTGTTACAGGTACCCATTCCCAGGCTTTGGGCAAGCTGCATATGTTCAATGAAATGTTTCCCTCCTTGGATCATGCCATGGGTAATGAATAACTGCTCTCCCCCGCCCCCCCCCAGCAGGATTTCCACACACAAAATCCCAGACTGACCTTTGCTTATGAAGGTGCCACTTGGCTCTAACTTTTCTACCTGGTCTGAGATACTAACTGCACTGCAGGGATGCAACAGGTCCATGGAGGGACTGCTCACACTGGTTGTTTCTGCTGCATCTTGCCCCCAGGGTCATCTCCTTATAAGCCCATTCACCCCCAGCTCAATGATCTTCCTCTGGCTGAGAGTCCCTTTGTCCTGTTCCTAACCCAGGAAGGAGTCGCTGTACTGACTAGATGCACCGCATAGCCTTGAAAAGTTAAGCATGCTGCCTCCCAACACTTTCAGTGCAAGTTCTGAGCAACCCGTCTCTAGACCTGTATGATAGAAAGTTTGCATTAGAAGTTTTACTGTATTGCAAGAGGCACTTATACCCAGATGGCAAAAGCAACTCAGCACCCAGGAACCCTCAACTAGGAAAGGAAGTTAGACATAGGCTAAAGACTAGGTTTGGATGTGGAGCATTTATTAATACCCTTTGATGGAGAGCACTATGTACACAGACCAGCCACAGAAGTTTACTTCTTGGTTTCCTCCTCCTTGGAGAGAGTCTTGATGATCTCTTCCTTCTTGGCTTGCAGACGTTCTTCACGGCGCTTGCGGGCTTCCTTGGTCTTGGACCTGCGAGCTTCGGCCTGGTCGCTGAAGATGAAAATAGGTTTCATGAACACACAGGGAGTCAGCCTCCAGCAGCCCAGATAAACTCACGCAGCTTTTACCTGGGCATCATCCCCCACCTCTGACTATTTTTCTCCAGCCTTAGGAAGCCATTGTAGAGAGATGAGGTGTGAACACGCATTTCACAAATGCCTCATGCGCCATCTACTGCTTTATAGCTGCTGTTTACCAGGTTACGACGCCCGCACATCTCCTCAATGCAACAGTCTTAAGTGCAATTCAATATCTTGTTCAGTGACACCCCACTGACCTACTGAGTAATATAGGCAGGCATCAATGGGATCTACCCTTGGCCAGGATTGGGACTAAACAGGTCCTTGGCCCAAACGACAGCACAAGAGCATGCTGCTGTCTTTACTCCATCTCCAAGGACACCACACAGCAAACTTGTTTGTTAGAGAGTGCCCTTGAGATCTTGACAAAACTGATCAGTCCAGTGGCTGAAGTTAGAAAGGGAAAATAATGCATGATCTGCCAGAACCCATTTGTCCTTCAATTGTCTTAACTTTGCCTCTTCTTGAGAACGGATCCTTCAATGGCAAGGTCTTTGGACAACATTCAGCAGGGGAACTTGCCCATCCCCTGAAGATGGGTGTTATTTCCTGGGTGTTTACGTCACGCAGAAGGGAAAAGCTTGTTTAAAGGGGGCATTCAAGTCATACTTGGATTTATTTATACCATTAAAACCAAGCCATTAATATCCAGATCACTTGTCAACATTTATGACGTATTATCTTGTACTCCACTCAGCCTTAGGCCTCGTCTACACTAGAAAGTTTTGCTGCTCTAACTATAGGTGGGTTCTACTATACCAGTAATGTGAATGCACGTATACCGATCTACGAGAGCTTATACTGTTCTAGTTTGACAGTCTGCACCCATACCAAACCTTAAACCAGTATATCCGTAAATAATCACAGCCCTAATTGACCGCGCTATAGCAGCGTAACTATGACCAGGCTTGGATAGTGAAGAGATGCTAGCGAACTTCATTTGTGTCTAGTCAGTTTCACTTGACAGGCTGCCACAATAAGAGAACCATTGTCTTTGTAACCCGAGTGCTGAGAGCTCATGGAGTCACTTGAACGGATACTGAGCATTATCAGAAGCTCATGTGTGCAGAACTTAAGCCTTGGGCCTTTACTAAGCTCTCAGAATCGCTTTAATAATCAAACACTTACGCCAGGAGCTTCTTGCGAGCCTTGTCTGCCTTGAGTTTGTGAATGTGCTCCATCAGAATCCGCTTGTTCTTGAACACGTTACCCTTGACCTTCAGATACAGACTGTGATACCTAACGAAAGGAAAGGGACAGGGTGAGGTGAGAGCTCCCTGTGGTGCAGGACGCAAAGCTCATTTGTTTGATGGCACAAAAGAGGAAATACGAACTGTGCGGCTTCCAAGACACCTTGAGTGACTCTAGATAAACAGCAGTTATGCCTTCTCTGCAGTGGACCACATAGTGACCTGTGTCCCAGAGTTTTAAAATGAATTTAACCATCGTGCAGCAGCTTAATCTACCACCACACACGACTCCCTTGTCCTGCCCTCCAATGTCAGCAGAGGAGCTAGTGCTGAGAAGCACTAACCAACACCAAGATCATTTTGTAGCAGCTTTCCCGTGCCCTTATCCACTGCAAGGGATTTATCATTTCCATAAAAGATGTGTTTAATCTCTCTTGGCTTTCCACTTTGGCATCTGTGGGTTCAGGGGCAAGTTTATAGAGCCGGCTGCAACAGCCTTGCACAGCAGAGGCTGGTTTATCCAGGCAGATGGGGACCCTGTTCCCCACCCAGACACCCACCAAAGGAGAAGCAGGGCAGGATTCATTTG